AATAAGACTGACTAAAAGTAGCTCAAACTGCCCAAGTTTTTTTTTTTTTTTTTTTAATTAATAATATAGGAAATATTTTTGCATTACTATTTCTGTAAAGCAAACTATTCAGCAAAAAACGTAATTAACACCAAAACTATCATATAACATCAAGAATTACTTACAAGCATATAAAATCTATTTTGAATAGCAGACGCACTGTAGAGTAATTCATGCTGAGCAAAAGGTATCCCGCTGGCCATGGTAATGATACTCGCTCGCAGGGTGTACTCAGAAACGTTTCTCGAGTCACGTAAGCTGCCCCCCCCCCCCCCTCTCTCTCTCTCTCTCTCTCTCTCTCTCTCTCTCTCTCTCTCTCTCTCTCTCTCTCTCTCTCTCTCTCTCTCTCTCTCTCTCTCTCTCTCTCTCTCTCTCTCCTTTTCGTGTTTGTTCTCAGTAATTTTCTTTGTTTTCCCCGTTTTTCTTTGCGCTTCCTTTCTTCTACACCCGTTCTTCGTATTTCTTCTCTTTCCTCCCTTCCCCTCCTTTTCTGTTTTTCTTTTCTCTTTCCCCTGGCACTTTGTTTATCCTTGTTTTGTTGAATTCTGTTCTTCGCTTAGCACATTATTTTTCTCTTCCTTCGTTCTTCTCCTACAACTTTCTCTGTCTTTTAACTCCACATTATGAAAAATCGATACTGGGTAATCTAATAAAACACAAATGAAACTGAGCTCATTCCTCAGTAAGTAAAAACATTAATGAGTATCTATCCAAATCTTCTTTCATTTCTGCTCATCCTTAATACCTACATGTATTGTTTCTCGATTTTTTGTGGTTTGCATCTGTGGTTGAGACTTCACTGGTCTCACTTCAGTTTTAAAAAGCTATAAAATTCCCAGTGGCTAGTTCCAGTCGCTTGTTTGAATACTCTCGAAACTCATATGAGAGACGCAGAATCTGACGAAACATACAGATTTATATATTACCATGATCATGCAAGACCTGTTTCCTTCACGTTCTCTCTCCGAACTATCTTATTTTCAAAACATTAAATTTCCTTAAAGGAAATGATTGATCGAAACACCTTGCCACCCTACATTTCTGAAATTAAAAACACGACAAGAATCCAGACAAGTGTCTGCCTTCCGCTTCGTCCTTCAAGAACTGTACTTGGCAACTCAGAATAGTTTTTTTTACAACTGCCGCCACTCGTTATTGTATTTATTATTATTGTTAATGGTATATTAATGATTGCTCTCGTTAGGATCTATCGTTGGATTTATCGCAATTGTCATTAATGCTGCTACTCATTAACATTATTATATCTAGTATCGTTACCACCATCATTATTATAATGACGTTCGCGGTATAATCGGTTCTAGTTCATAAAAGAGCCAGCGTGATATAGAAGGAAAGGGTGATCTTGTTTCTAGCTGTATTCACCTATATCTTGTCACGCATACACAACGCCCACCTTGGCATCGCCTCCGAGACTGTCTTCTCACTTGTCCTCTCAGCCGACTCCTTTGCTGTAGTGTGTACATATATGTATGTATGTATGTATGTATGTATCGCCAAAAGTGTTCCATGACCCAGTCTTTAGAATGGGACACATAGGTAGTTGCGTACAATTTTACAGGTTGTTGAGACCTAAGGTGAACAAGTTATTTATTTAAGATCCTCAGTAGTCAATCATCCTGCTATTCCTAACCATACGTATAGGAAGACATTTTATAAGAAAGGTCAGACGGGTTATTGTAACTTTGACAACTGGCTGACCTGAAACGTTAAAAAAAGGTTTACACACCATCTATCTGCACAATTGTTTCCTAGCATGATACAAAAAGTGTAACGTGTATATACCTATTCATGCGTCCACATATTCTCAAAATAATAAATTGCGTCACTCACAAATTCCACATAGCTTAACCACATACGCACAAACGTAGAAAAATACCATCATAATTATTTGTACTAACAAGACCCCGCAAGATTTTTGTTCTCTTTTTTAGAATCAACTTTACATACAACTTTCCACCCACCTTCCATGATGATCGAATGAAGGCGGTCAGTACACTACTACCCATTGTGTATACGTGACCAGTTTGATGGTCATACTTGTACACCGTGCACATGATGGAATAGCGTGTGTCCATTGCATCATATGTCTATGGAAGTGATGATCAAACTCTAGTCTGAGATATAAGGAGTAATAAGTATCATTATGATTCCTTTCATGTATCTATCGCATCAAACGTTTAGAAAGAAGAATCACACAAACTCCCAAAGAAGATTAAAAATAAGCAATCGACTGATGATTCCAATCATCCACTACAATAACAGTCGCATAATAACATCAACAATGATAAGTCCTCAGTTAAACGTGTCTCAGCGATGTGAAAGCCACGTCTGCTCCGAGTGAGAGGAAAACCGACGTCACACAGGAAAGACCCGACAGGACATTGAAGTTTGCACGTAGTTGCTTTTATCTCAAGGCTCCCTCGGCTGATGTCACTCGATCCTCGGTTTGACTTGGGGATTCCTTGTGGCCCGGGAAAGGTGATGCAGTCTTGGGATGTAGTATGATGATGTCACGCCCAGGGCGGTGCTCTAGTTTACACCCACGTGGAGAATTTTTAAAAGGGAAAAGAGCCTTTTCCTTATTTAATTAGTATTTCTACAGTAGGATTTACTTATATAGAATACTGATGAGGAAATGAATGGGAGTGAACGCTTGTGCATATATGTGTGCGTTTACACACAGACACGTGTGTGTGTGTGTCGCGCGCACACTCACATACACACACACGCATATATATACATATATATATATATATATATATATATATATATATATATATAAATTTGTCTACACACACACATATACATATATATGCGTGTGTGTACATATATGTATGTATGTATGCACGTATGTATACATATGTATGTAATTATATGCATATCTACATTATATTTGTATTTATGCGTGTCCATAAATACATATATAATATATAATACATATATGATATATATAGAAAGATAGATAGATAGATAGATAGATATATGCATATCTATGAATATATTATATATATATAAATGTATATTGTATATATATACATATATACATATATATACATATATATATACATATACAGATATATGTATATATCTATATATATATATAGATACATATATATCTACGTATAAACACACATATATACATACATACACATACATAGTTACATATAACTATATGTATGCACACACACACACACACACACACACACACACACACACACACACACACACACACACACACACACACACACACACACACACACACACACATACACACACACACACACACACACACACACACACACACACACACACACACACACACACACAACATATATATATATATATATATATATATATATATATATATATATATATATATATATATATATATATATATATATATATATACATGTATACAAACACACACACACACATATATACATATATATATATATATATATATATATATATAAAATTTGTGTCTACACACACACATATACATATATATGTGTGTGTGTACATATATATGTATGTATGTATGCATGTATGTATACATATGTATGTAATTATATGCATATCATTATATATGTATTTATGTGTGGATAAATACATATATAATATATAATACATATATAATATATATAAATAAATAAATATATATATATATAAATATATGTGTGTGCGTGTGCATGTATATGTGTGTGTGTGTGTGTGTGTGTGTGTGTGTGTGTGTGTGTGTGTGTGTTGTGTGTTATGCATATACATACATATATTTATATATATATATATAAACAAATATATATAGATACATAGATAGATAGACATAGATAGACGTCAGAATTATTTGGAACGACAAGAAACATCACGTCTGCGCGTAAATCTTTGCGGGGATTTACAAACGCCCACATGCAGCAGTAAGGAGAAGAGAAAAATTGTATATCTGTTTCCTCTGACAAGTGCGTACGTGCCAGGTGACCGGAGCGTACTTGCGTGCGCGCGCGCGGGGCGAAGGATCTCTCATATATAAGTCGCGGGGTCGAACTCGGACCTCATTCCAGACACAGCTGTGGTTGCGTCAAGAACTCGTTCCGACTAAGCTTCACAAAAATTATTAATTGAAGAGCATTTTCCGTTATATATAACGTATTGTTTGTTGGCAATTATCTTCCGTTGTATCTAGTGAGTATTAATGCATTCGTGTTTTTTCTGTGTTCCTAATTCATGTGGCATTTATGGTGTACTTACTGAAAGGTATCGTTATGATTCTAAGTGGAATTTGAGGTGTCCTACGTTGATTATACCCAGTGAAATGATGTGGTGAGATTAATAATGACATTACTCACTTACCGGAATTCTAATGAAAAGTGCAAATGTAACCAGATTTGATAAAGATAACAGCGGGCATAAACCCAATGATAATAAAAATACGAACAGAACGATAAAAAGTAGTAATAATGCAAAGATAAGAAAACATTTAACAAAAAATAACACACGTCGACGAATCGTATTCATTGAGAAAGATGTAGAAAAGGTTTGAATGAAATATATCTTAACAATACAAGAGGTGTATTTAACCGGTTTCAAATATATCTTCGTCAGAAATACATGTACTTCTGAAGATATATTCGAAGCCGGTGAAATATATCTCTTGTGTTGTGAAGATATTCATTTTCTTTCATACCTCGTCCACATGCACGTCGCCATGAGCTAAAGCGCTTCGTTTCCCGCAGGATTCCGCCATGAAGCTCGAGCCGGCCAGCCACTTGTCCCAGCGCGGCTCCCACGCTGCCAACTACGGCGACTTCATCATGACTTACTTCAAGGAGGCGCTGAAGAATCCTTACCATCCAAAGCTTAATCCAAAGGTTAGTTGTATTATCTTAAACGTGCACACAGACGCAAACACACATGCACACGCATGTGTGTGCGCGAACACACACACCCATACATACATACATACATACACACACACTCTCTCTCTCTCTACATATTTATGTTTATGTATCTATGCTGCCGCTAGTCAAACGTGCCTTTTCATTAAAACGTCAGAATCATAAAACTTTTTCCCTTTTAAACTATTAAACTTTGAAATAAACCATTCGAACTCTAAATCATTACATTCTCACTTTCACACTTTGTCGAAATTTCCTCCTTTCCTTTTCATAACCCCCTCACCCACCCCACCCGCAGGGCATCATCAACATGGGCACGGCGATCAACCGTTTAATGGAAACAGAACTGGCCGCCCGCATCACGCAGGGAGACGCCCTCGCCTACACGCCCGCGCACCAGCACTACTACGAGCTCTCTGGCACCGCCCAGCTGAGACAGGCACTCGCGGGATTCTTCACGAGGCACTTTTGTCCCGGCAGGAACGTTTCTCCCGATAATGTGAGTCACGAGAAAAAAATGCATATATATCTTGCCTTCTATGGCGTCTCATTCTCTCGCCAAATATGGACTTTTGTGTTAGGAATATTTGTTCTCTATGGGTAATAAGCTTGGAGCGTAGGAAGTAGGGTCATCGAAAATTAAGCAGTCATTAAAAAAAGAAATTGTAATACTTTACAGAATGTATGGGATATATGCGCATACATTTTATGGAATAACTAGACCGATGAACACCGGAAAATGCTATCCAACACTCCTTAGCCCATTAGCTCCTCGGAAATGAACTTAAACATATAGATCACAGATTTAAAAGTCCTGCCATGCAATCCTAATAAACGTTGATATCCTTTCCTGAATAGCTGGTGGTGATGAACGGCGTGGGGGCGTGTCTGGACTCCCTAGGCCACGCCCTCTGCGATCCCGGCGACGTCCTTCTCACGCCGACACCGGTCTATGGGCGCATCTTCACCGATTTCTGCGACAGGTCCTTGGTGTGTGTGGAACCTATCGACACGTCACAAGAGGTATACATACATACATACCCTTTCATTAATTTTTTATTTTTGTTTCTCTCTTTACCTTTTTGCTATTTTTTTTAAATTTATTCGGACATACGTTTTCGGTCCTGTCGTTTTTTCAATATTTTCTACTGGGAATGCATACTAATTCCTCTACAGTCGCACCGCCTTATCGCTTCCGTATCCTCAAGAAAAATAAATTAGATAGATAAACAAAAACTCAAGAAATAAAGGGGAAACAACAAAAATAAATAAATGTAAATAAATAGACTAGAAATAGAAAAACAAAATGAATGAAAAAAGACAATAAACAAGTAAAGGAATTAATAAATAAATAAACAAGAATAATTCAACGACCAATTATACTAACCTCTTACCTCCTCAGACCAACGTCGATGGCATGACCTTCGACCTTCGTCCGGAGGACGTCGAGGAGCGGATTGTCCAGCTGACCTCGGAAGGCAAGAGGGTTCGCGGTCTGGTGCTCCTTCATCCCCACAACCCTCTCGGCACCTCCTACAGTCCTGAGCTCCTTCGAAAGATCTTCGCTGTCTGCGCTCGGTGGGTGTTTTCGTTTTGTTTGCGTGTGGTAAGAAAAGTATTCATTGTGAAAGATGTAGAAAAGGTTATGAATGAGAATGAATATCGTCACAATACAAGAGACGTATTTAACCGGTTTCGAGTATGTCTTCTTGGGAAATACATGTATTTCTGGCGGATATATTCGAAATAGGTTAAATGCATCTCATATTGTGAGGGTATTCAGTGTTTGAGGTTTTTGCATCGGGGAGGTTTGTGTGCGCATGATTTGTCGGTGTATTTATCTGTGGATGCATGCTTGTGTATAGCTGCATGTTTGTCCGCATTGATTCTTGTTGTACGAAACCCCTATAGCCTTTAATTTCGTTTCCTCATATAATTTCCCACACCAATCTCCCAAAGTTGCACACAGTCATCAGTAAACACGCAATAGATAACAAAGCATTACAATGTTTTTATTTCTTCCAGACACCAGATGCATGTCATTGTGGACGAGATTTACGCCCTCTCAGTATTCGACACTTCAGCACCCCACCAGAGTGTCCTTTCCCTGGATGATCTTCCGGACCCTGAGAAAACGCACGTGCTCTGGGGTCTCACGAAGGTCAGTTTGAAGGCTTTTTTTGTGTTTGAATACTGGGGTTCCTAAGTGGATGATTTGTTTGTTTATTGTTTTACTTCTACTATAATAATGTGTATGTGTGTGTGTATTATTATCATTGGTGTATTCTATAAAATTTCATAGATTTACCTTTACACCCGTTCCTCCAGGATTTCGCCCTTGCCGGCTTCAGAGTAGGTGTTATCCACACGCAAAGTAAGGAGCTTCTGCAGTGCCTTCGAGCCGTGTCTACATACCAGTGCACGCCACACCTCATTCAGCACGCGGCAGCAACACTCCTCAACGACATAGGTGAGATTTGGTGGATTTGTTCAATTTGGAAAAGAGAAAGGGTTATTCATCGATTCACAGGGAGGGGAGGGAGAGAGAGAGGGAGAGAGAGAGAGAGGGGGAGGGGGAGGTGGGGGGGGGGAGAGAGGGGGAGGGGCGAGGGAAAGCGAGGGAAAGCGAGGGAAAGAGAGGGAAGAGAGGGAAGAGAGGGGAGAGGGAGAGAGAGAGAGAGAGAGAGAGAGAGAGAGAGAGAGAGAGAGAGAGAGAGAGAGAGAGAGAGAGAGAGAGAGAGAGAGAGAGAGAGGGATGGAGGGAGAGGAGAGGAGAGAGAGAGCGAGAGAGGAGGGAGAGAGTCGAGAGGGAGGAGGAGAGAGGAGAGGGAGAGAGGGAGAGAGGGAGAGGAGAGAGAGAGGGAGAGGGAGAGGAGGAGAGAGGGAGGAGAGAGGAGAGAGGAGAGAGGAGAGAGGAGAGAGAGAGAGGAGAGAGGGAGAGAGAGAGAGGAGAGAGGAGAGAGAGAGAGAGAGAGAGAGAGAGGGAGAGAGGGAGAAGAGAGAGAGAGAGAGAGAGAGAGAGAGAGAGAGAGAGAGAGAGAGAGGGAGAGAGAGGAGGGGAGGGAGAGAGGGAGGGAGGAGGAGGGAGGGAGAGGGAGAGAGAGAGAGAGAGAGAGAGAGAGAGAGAGAGAGAGAGAGAGAGAGAGAGAGAGAGAGAGAGAGAGAGAGAGAGAGAGAGAGAACGAAAGGGAGAGGAAGACGAAGAGGGACAAGAAAAGAGAATTTGAAAAAGCGAGAAGAAGACAAAAAGCTTTCCCAAATTGTAGCAACGAACAACTGACTGCAGTACAAAATACAATAAAACATTTCTTTCCAGAATGGTGCGACAACTTCTACCTTCCCACCAACCAAAGGAGGATGCAGGAGGCATACACGAAGGCCCTGAAGCGTTTGGAAGGGATGGGCGTAAAAGTGAGGAGATCTCAAGCAGGTTTCTTCGTCTGGGCCAATTTGCAGTCGTTCCTTTGCCCTTGCACTGAGGAGGAAGAGCTAAGTACGTTGATGGGTAGTTGTCTTCCCTTTTGCATTCCTTTTTTGTATTTCTATTGATTTTTTAATTGTTTGGCTTTCGGTTTTCATGGCATGCACTTTTTTCTTCTCATTTCTATTTTTTTTCTATTTCTCTAGAAATTATTTAGAACGTGTGAACTATATTTATATCAGACGATACGGAGTAACACCAGTGACCCATAAACACGCTAAAGTTGACACGGTGAAAACAACAGCAACTTGGACGTGAACTGAAGATTCAAATTTATAACGTGTTCATTTCACCATCAGAATTGTTCGAAGAGCTGTTCGAGAGCGGCCTTTTCCTCGTCCCGGGATCCAAACTGTACTGCGTGAATCCTGGTTGGTTTAGGTTTATCTTCACTATTGCACCTGAGGATTTAGACGAAGGTGAGGCCGATGTTCGGGTTGGCGAAGCTTGTTGGATTGTTATTGGAACACTAGTGTTGAATATTACATTTTTTTACTTGAATAATATATGATGAAATTGATAATAATAGAATATGATTGAGGTGTTAATGATAATAATATAATAATCATTATCATAATAATGAAAAAAGTAATGGTGATAGCTGTAACGATAATGATAGTAATCCTTTTTGTTATCATCATTATTATTTATGCTTTGATGGTCAGGGATTGATTTATTTTCCTGTTAAAAATTATCATAAACGCATCCATTCATAATCCATTACAAGCTTTATTGCAATCTTACAAAGTCGTTGTTCCCTACTTCGCCATTATCAACGTATAGAGCATATCACTGTCCTGTTACAAAACATTGTTTGCCAATAGGTGATTCATGCCCTGTTCTCCCTTTTCTCCCGCAGCACTGAACAAAGTAGAACTCGTGCTATGCCGCAGAAGAACACCCAGGAAACACAGGCCGGTTGCTCTCTAAGTCCAGCCACAGACACAGAGCCAGACAGTTCAAATCTAGAAAAAGGGTTTCAAAACTCTACTCCGTATTGGTCGGACGCTGGTGGATTTCAGGACATATTTCTTTCATAAACATTTTTTTAGATATTTGTTCTCTGAAACTTAAACTCGATTTCAGATTGTCATGTTATATTGGACGAAAAAAGTTATTTAAAGATATGCCTAATGACGGTGTTCTTGTTCATGTTACATTACTTCCTTGTCTCACCTTTTATGTAAATATAAATTCTAGAGCGTTTCTTTCCAAAGATAACGTTTTGTTTTATATGTAAATACTGTAAATAAAACGTTTCTATCTATATATGTTAATAGTGATATATTTTTGTACCGTATTTATTGCCTGTAGACTTCAGTATGAGCTGCAATTTACAGGTTCTTTGTAAAATTAAGTATACAGGAATTAGACGGTCACTGCTCTCTTCCCTGTTATTATTTCTGTTAAAGAAATAATTGTCTTGAAACACTGATTTTTTCAGAAGTATCAATTGTGGTATTTCATAGTTGCCATATGTCTGTAAGGTATTTTTGGGTTGTGCATAGTTCTTTTGATATTTGTTTTGCATATTTTGGAAATATGAAATAAATTATGAATAAGTGAACACTGGTGCTCGTTCATTTTTCCTGTTATTTTTTTTTTTTTTTTTTTGGCAAACCGTATTTACTGAAACCTTAAAAACCTTAAAAACTCCTTAATATTCACCCTAGACTACAATAGGCCAAGAAACTAACTACACCAGAAAGTATTGTTTCTTTTTTTTTTTTTTTTTTTTTTTCATGAAAACTCCTTAATATTCACCCTAGACTACAATAGGCCAAGAAACTAACTACACCAGAAAGTATTTATTTGCGACATTTCTCCGGGCCGATCGCGACAGCAACGCTGCCGATGCTTATATGCTGTGCCACAGGTGCGGCTCCACCCCCTTTCTTAGGAATTGTACTTGAGTTGACGAATCTGATTTTGTTTTTGAATTGTATCAATTGACAAATCACTGGTTTACTGATGTAACATTAGGAAATAACAATAAATACAAGTTGTTAGTTATCAACAACAAATTTCAAATCTAACGACGGAAAACTATCGAAATCAGTTGAAAATGCGCGGGCCCTAAGCGCCACCCATCATGCTTCCTCATTCGTCCATTGACACTGGTTTCGAAGGTCACACTTTAAATATTTTGAAAATGACACTATTTATTGATTGGTATCAACTACATTCAAAAGGATATATAAGTTTACGTCTGCATATTCAATTATCATTACATAATAAGTGAAATTATTATGTAAAACCTAATATGAATTTTAATAATATTGTTTTAACCATTCGAACATATTCTATAAATAAAACATGAGATACTTCCCCGTATATTATTCGTCATGGAACACTTTTGGATGTCTGTATATTGCCCAGGATTAGAGCATAAATGATATAAGAAAAACAGTAACTAGCCTTACATGACATATCGCATAAAAATGTACACATACGAAAAATAAATCTGAACCTCGCTCTTCTTAGCCGTGGCCCTGTTAATACGAAAGCATAAAGCTTAAACTCAATATTGTCATATATGGTAGTAGTGTATATTTTTTATATTATATTTCTGCATATATATGTATATATATATACAGGGGCGGCGCTAGAAAACTTTTTGGGGGGATGTCGGGAGCAAGGTTACCGAGTAACATTTTAAAAATTAAATCCACACTTCGTACTTTTTAATATCTTGTTTCGAAAAGGACCAAACTGAGATGAAAATGAAAACTTCGAGTTACAAACCATCATAATTGATTTCTTAAATTATGCCGACCACCAAGTTTGCCGAGTAAACTGTATTTTTTCCATTCTGCCGAGTGAAATGACGATTTGTGACCTTTGGGGGGGGGGGGGGTCGCACCCCCCACACACCCCCCATGGCATCGCACCTGTATATATACATATATATACATACATGCATATATATGTGTATATGTATATATATATGATTATATATATATATATATATGTATATATATATCACATATGTATATGCATGTGTGTATACATATGTGGTAAAATATATGGTGTGTGTGTGTACTGTATATATGTACACATTTCTGTATGCATATATATATATATATATATATATATATATATATATACATATATGCACACATACACGCGCGCGTGCGCGTAAATACTTTTAAACTAGTACTTAGTGCAATAATATCTTCGTTAACATCATCAACGTTACTAATATTGCACCATGCAGTGTAGCATCAACTTTGAAACCATTTTCTTCCAGTTTCAAAACAGGCAGAGGTGCTCCGCGCGCTCATCAGCCAGGTGCAGTTGCTTATATATGACTCTACCCCCATAAATAGGGGCGGAGTCATAGGAAACTGTAGTACTACACTTCCTTGGCGCCGGAAAAAGGCCTAATTTATACATCATTACATTTACCACGAGAACCCCCAGGACGCAAATCCATGACGCATGTCCCACGGACTTGCAGCAGAATTCGATCTAAAGGAATATCAACTCAATTGAGATATTTGATAATAGATAAATAAATGTCAGTCTGATTGTGTCGCTAATTTTATTGTTATTGATTTGTCTTTATTCCAGTATCCGTGAGAATAGTTTTAAGGTTTTGCTGACCACAACTATTTTGTGTCTTTATAATGCAAACTTAATTGTAAAGAATTTGTCAGTACATTTTCAGAGAACCAATTGCTTATGAAATATATGTTTCAAATGGGAAAAAAACGTTCTTTGGCTAAAGATGATAATTAAAATGAAATATCTGTACATGAAAAGTTACAAAATAAAATCCTTTAAGAATTAGGAATAATTTGCAGTAACGTAGGCTGTTCAGACGAAGTTCTGTTAACAAGTAGTATCATCAAAATCGGTCGAATTAATAACATTTATATACTGCAGTATATCAAAAACTAATTAAAAGCGATTAAAATTCATAACGAAATTTCATGAAGCAAAATCAAAATGATGCAGCAGAAAAAAGGCAAAGGCGAATATTAGTGGAATATTTGTTCTTCCTTAAATCTTCCAGGAATATCATAAAGATTATGGCCCTCATCACTTTTTTATTTATTTTATTT